TTTTTTTCTTTTCTTTTTTTTATTCTGGGATTTATTTACCTTCTATAATTGAAACTTTGTAGCCTTGAGAGGAGCTCAGAGCCGGCCAGGGCAGGCGGGAGGGAAGCCTCCTGCTGGCTCTAGCTCCGTGGCCACAGCCAGCTGAAAGCAGGTATCTGGGGTTTATTTACCTTCTATAATTAAAACTTTGTTGCTTTGAGTGGAGCTCAGAGCCGCCTGCTTGGCTGCCGGCTGCCATCTTGGTTGGGTTAATTTGCATATAGTCTCTCTGATTGGCTGGTGGGCGTGGTTTAAGGTATAGCAAAGGTACGGTCAATTTGCATGTTTGTCTTTTATTAGTGTAAAAGATATTATTGATTTCAAAGAGGAAGAGAGAGAGAGAGATGAGAGATAGAAACGTCAATGACGAGAGAGAATCACTGATCGGCTGCCTCCTGCATGCCCCACACTGGGGATTAAGCCGGCAACCCAGGCCTGTGCCTTGACTGGAAATCAAACTGAGACCTCCTGGTTCATAGGGCCACACTCAACCACTGAGCCACACCAGCTGGGCAGCTCTGTGCCTTTGTATGTGCTGTACCATCTATCTAGAATGCTTACTCTTTTTTTATTTTTTTTTTGACACCTATCAAAACCCAAGTCATAGATCATTGTCACCTCAGACTTCCCCAGGTGACATTGATAATACCACTGTGCTCCCAAAGCACTTGAAACAGTATTTATTAGGTGGTATTAGTTGTTCATATACGTGAGCTTGAGTCTGGAATCATGGCTGATTCATCTTTGTAGCAAACGCTAGTCTAATACTTGGTGCCTAGCAGGCATTATTTATGTATACACCTATATAAAAATAATGTAATAGTTCTAAAGATTCACCATAGGAGTCCTTAGTGCTCTTAAAAATCATAGAATTTTTAGCCCTAACCGATTTGGCTCAGTGGATAGAGCATCGGCCTGCAGATCGAAGGGTCCCAGGTTCGATTCCCAGGAAGGGCATGTACCTTGGTTGCGGCCACATCCCCAGTAGGCGGTGTGCAAGAGGCAGCTGTTCGATGTTTCTCTCTCATTGATGTTTCTAACTTTCTATCCCTCTCCCTTCCTCTCTGTAAAAAATCAATAAAATATATTTTAAAAAAAGAAGAAAAAGGTGGAACAGTTGGTCAGAGATCACTTTCTTAAAAAAAAAAAAAAAATCATAGAATTTTTAGAGCCAGAAGGAAAATTGTATATTAGCTAAATGGCCACTGACCTGTTTTTTGGTGTGTATGTGTGTTGTTTTTTTTTTAATTTTAATTTTTATTGATTTCAGAGGAGAGGAAGAGAAAGATAGAAAATCAGTGATGAGAGAGAATCATTGATTGGCTGTCTCTTGCATGCCCCACACTAGGGATCAAGCGTGCAACCCACATATCCCCTGACCAGGAATCAAACCATGACCTCCTGGTTCATAGGTTGATGCTCAACTACTGAGCCACGCTGGTGTGGCGACTGACCTGTTTGAATATGAGGAACAGTGGACCGCTAACACACAAGTAGTTGTATTTGTTGATTGAGATTATACATAATGGCAAAAAACTATGCTTTTAAATAATTTTGTATTTTGTTATTCTAGTATGCGTCTATATTTGAAAAATAGTGGGATATATGTGTGAGAGAAATATTTTAGACTACAGACTGTGTTTGGTGTATGCAACTCTTCCAATGGCTCCTTGGCCCATTGGTTAGAAATCACTGGTTTAGATTAGGTTATTTCCTTCTTGAATTGTCATATCTTTTTGAACGTATATGTAACTTATATTTAGCCACAATTCTAAGGTAACGTGATTTTAAAACATTATTCTATGCCCCTACTTCAAATTCTGTTCTGTTCAACCTTAAAAATTCATCTTCATAAAGGTGCTTCATAAACCCTCAGACATGTTCATTTCATCATTTTCAAGAACTGAAAATTTTCTGTGCTTTCAAATATCCTGATGTGTCTGTATAAGCTGATTATTTTTATATATAATTTACATGCATTTTTCTTGATTTTTTTTTAGAGTGTAAGTTTATGAGAAAGCCATACTATGCCTTTTTATTTTCCTATTCCATGTCTATTATCTACTAATTGACATTAGAGGTACCTGCCTGAGCAACCCAATAAAAATTTTTAATTAAAGTAGATTGTTGACATTTGAAGACACTCAGTGGCATATCAGTAGTCACAGTATTTCTGTATGTCCAACTATAGGATACTGAATTTTTGGGTAAAAGAGAAAGAAGAGTGACTTGAATTTCTTTAAAATTTTGTTAACCAAAATCCAAAATTAACAGCTGTCAGTTGCTGTCATAGGTGGGTGGTGGTTTCTCTTTTATCAGCAGCAGAATGTTCTGAACCCGCTGCCAGGAGTCTGACTATCAGTGTCTTTGGGTGGTAAAGTAGGCGAGTATATAGCTAATGCAGGGGAAAAACCTGCTTTAGAAAAATTTCACCTGTAATTTGGGCCCATCTATAGGAGATAATGTAAGTAATAATTAAGCATGATAAAAATAGGTAGATAAATTGGGAATACCCCTTTTAAAATGTTTTATTTAACTGGAATATATTTTTTAAACTTGTTAGAGAGGTTGGAAACAATCTCCCTCCCACTCCACTTACCGACCCAAAAAGAGAGGGGAAACACAATGTTTTTCAAAAAAGGTGGCAAAGTTAATGCATATTATAAAACATTCTAAACTTTTCTGTGGTTTCACCTACAGGAAATGAACATGCAGATTCTTAGAAACTCCGTGTCACTGTTTTTCTGAAATGCTAATAAAACAATGCTTTGAATTACCTGATGTTTAAAATTCATTTCTCAGAATAGCATTATTTTTATAGTTACAAAGCAAAATTTAAATATAGTTTATTTTGATAGTAGTATTTTTTTAGCAGTCTAGAGAATACTTTTTAAAGTGAATGTTAATTGTAATTGAGAAAGCCTATCAGTACACATCCATTGGTCTTATAATTAACTAATGTCTAGTAAAAATGGATGCTAGGCTTTTACTAGTTATAAGAAAAAATATTTGAGCCCTGACCGGTTTGGCTCAGTGGATAGAGCGTCGGCCTGTGGATGGAAAGGTCCCAGGTTTGATTCCAGTCAAGGGCATGTACCTTGGTTGCGGGCACATCCCTCGGGGGAGGGGGGGAGGAGGCAGCTGATTGATGTTTCTCTCTCATCAATGTTTCTAGCTCTCTATCCCTCTCCCTTCCTCTCTGTAAAAAATCAATAAAATATATATTTTAAAAATTTTTGAAATTTTGTTATTTCATTCTTCATTTACACTCCCATTTATTTTCTAGTGCTGGCTTGAAATGCAATTTTTATAATATTTTGGAAGACCTGTTGGTGAAATAGAGTTGGGGAATTTGCTCTGTTTTTCCAGCCAGGAAGACTGAGATAGTTTTTATTTATCTAAAAGCAAATAGGGTCCTGGGATCCACCTTGGCTCCTGAGTAGAGCACTAGCCTGGGTATTGGAAATTCTATTTCTGGTACTAGCTTGACTCCTTCCTTGCTGCATGGTGCTGTCATTCATTTCCTTTCATTTGGAATCCCTGAGTCTTTCCTCATTGATAAATGGGAATACACTTGTCCTGTTGACCGAAGGACATTATTAGGTAGTAGTCCTCAGGTTCAGAAAGCTACTAACAGTTTGAATTAATTAAAATGATTATTTAGTAGTTTTATTTTATTCTACAGTGCTCTAGAGGTCCATTTGGATTGACTTAGGTTAGAGAGAAGGCTAAGACTAGGTAAACCAAAATGAAATATCACCTCACGCTTGTGGGAATGACAATCATCAATAAATCAACAAATAAGGATGTGAAGAAAAGGAAACCCTCATACACTATTGCTGGGATTGTAAACCAGTACAGCCCCTAGGAAAAACTGGAGGTTCCTCAAAAAATTAAAAATAGAGCTGCTATACAATCCAGCAATTACACCTCTGGGGAATTTATCCAAAAACAAAACACTAACTAGAAAGATATATTAATTGTATGTTCATTGCAGCATTACTAGTAAGAGCCAAGATATGGAAGCCACCTAGATGTCTAACAATAGATGAATGGATATATATAAATCTCATGGTGTGTGTGTGTGTATAAAAGGCTAAGCAGCCATCCAACCAGTAGCTATGATGCGCACTAACCACCAGGGGGCAGACGCTTAACGCAGGAGCTGCCGAGCTGCAGTGACTTGGCAGCGGCAGTTCTTGGGTGATGCACCCGGGAACCAGAGAGGAGGGAGCCCGATTCCTGGGTGCATCACCTGAGAACTGCCCTCTTGCAATCCCAGACCCCTCAGGGGTTGTTGGAGAGCCGGTTTTGGCCAGATCCCCACAGGCCAGGCCGAGGGACCCCACCTGCCAGCGTGACACATAGAGGCCACTTTGGCTGGTCAGTAGTGTGTGTGAACATTATCTCAGGTCACCTGACCAGGCAAAAGCTAGGAAGGATCTTATAGTCAGATTGACCACAGAATACAGATTAGTAAAGTGACATCTTTCAAAAATGACAAGATAGGGAATGGCCTCATAAAGAACACTATTTCTGTATGATATAAAATGTATCCATTGGATGTTTACTTTTTCCCCCATCATAAATTCATGGTATTTTACATGCATTTTTATTATGTCTGCAAATTGTTTGCATATATTCTAATTTTTTTCAAATATTATAAATTCACTTTGTCTTGTGCCATCCTAATAGAAGCAAAGCTACGGGTGTTCTTAAATGTTTTTCTCTCCTCTTACAATGAACAGTCCTGTAACAAATTTTGCTCCAGAAGCATATCTCTGTGAACATGAAACTAAAATAGGATGATATGCCACCTTTGTTTTGAGTCTTGATTTTAATTTTTATTATAGGTATTCCTTTAGAAATGAGTTGCACAATTGAGAAGGCACTTGCTGATGCCAAAGCTCTTGTTGAGAGACTGAGAGATCATGATGATGCAGCAGAATCTCTGATTGAGCAGACCACGGCTCTCAACAAGCGAGTAGAAGCAATGAAGCAGGTTTGGTTTTTTTTCTTTTTTGTTGATTTCATTTTTTAAAAAAGCAATCATTGATACTTATGTATTGTTTGAATCACTATCTTCTGCTTAATTAGAATGTAATTATTATTTTTTGATGTTCTTTTTAAAATTTAAAGGTAGCTTGACATGTATGTTTCAATTTTACTTTATAATTCTTTGTTTTGCTCAGGTGAAATGTATTTTATATATATTCTAAAATCTGTAGACTTGATCACAATTTTTCTGACAGACACACATTTGAGTTTATAAAATACATGAATTTATTCAGTCCAGATACATTTGGCAAAGACCAGATAATGTCATTTACCAGTATAGACACATTTTGCTCCTATATTTTTATAATGTGGAAATGTTTATGTTTTTCTTTATAAAACTAGCTAGATGATGTTATTTAACAATTTTTTAAAGTAATGCAGAGTAATATCTACTTTATACCTTTTGCAGTTATTGCATTTATATTTGCTACCTTGCCAGTTAAAGAAGAAATGAAAAGGGCTTCACTTCTCGTTATCCTTAGTGTTATGTGTAAGGACTTTCCAATGGGCCATGGAGTTTAGCTACCATTTAAAGCTCTCTTCTGATAAAAATTTTTAACTCTAAGAGAATTATAAAAGTTCTGATATTATGAAATCCATAGGGGGAAATGTATATTCATAGCCTACTCTCATGAAATTCATTCATTTTTTAAAAGGAAGCAACCCTGGGATCCTGCTTTTATCAAAACTGGAAATAATGGAACAAGTTTACTTCATTTGTTTTGCAACTCTGTTGCCCTAAAAAGATTACATACCTCCTTAACTGTGTAGCTTGTCTTATGTATTCCAGTGAACATATATCTGATATTGAGCTGTGAAAAGAATTTGACAACTAAATTTAGAACCAGCAGTGTTATAATGACTGTGTTACTTAGTGGCTCATAAAAATGCCTTGAAAATAAAATTAGATTCCTAGTTATTTAAAAAAGATAATAATTTTGCACATATTATTGAGATAAAACTTACATACCATAAAGTTTATCCTTTTGAAGGGTACAGTTTATTGGATTTTAGAATATTCCCAGGTTGTGTAACCATAATCACTAATTCCAGAATATTCTCATCACCCCAAAGCCCCATTCTCCCTTCCCCAAGCCATCACTGATTTTTCTATCTCAATGGATTTGCCTATTTTAGACATTTCATATGAACAGAATCTTGCAATGTTGGGCTTTTTGTGACTGATTTAACAATGTTTTCAAAGTTCGTCCATATTGTAGCAGATATCAGCGCTTCACTCCTTTTTATTACCAAACTAGAGGCCCAGTGCACGAAATTCGTGCTGTCGGGGGTCCCTCAGCCCAGCCTGCACCCTCTCGCAGTCAGGGAGCCCTCGGGGGATGTCCGACTGACAGCTTAGGCCCACTCCCCGTAGGAACCAGCCTAAGCCAGCAGTTGGACATCCTTAGCACTGCTGCAAAGGCAGGAGAGGCTCCCGCCACCTCCGCTGCACTCGCCAGCCGTGAGCCCGGCTTTTGACTGAGCGGGGATGCACTGACCACCAGGGGGTAGCTCCTGCATTGAGCGTCTGCCCCCTGGTGGTCAGTGCGCATCACAGCAACCAGTCGTTCTGCCATTTGATCAAATTGCATATTAGCCTTTTATTCTATGTAATTCAGTTTGCATATTAGCCTTTTATTATCCTATACTAGTAGCCCAGTGCACAAAATTTGTACACATTAAAAGGGAATTAATTAGCGGAAATATTTTAATATTGCTATTTGCCCTTTCTCTGTAATAGAAGTGTGAGAAATGAAAGGAAATTAGTAAAATGTGTATGAAAATAATATGTAAATTTATTAATAAATAAACAGTAACAAAAGGATATAACAACAGAGATAATATATAAAAAGGACAAAAACATGGTATGAAAACAACAAAAACACAGTGATGCAAACAATGACTAATAAAGTGATTAAACTAATTCTAATATCTCCCTATACACCACATTAAGAGTGAAAACACTTTCAGAGTGCTTGACTAATTTCCCTTGTGCTGAAGTATTTAGAACTTTGACTTTAACATCACATGCTCTTCAAACTCGAGAGAAAGCAACATGTAACTGACGATGTGTGAAAACGGGTTCAGGTAGGAATATGCCTATTCTATCTAGAGTTTGTCCTTGTGATTTATTAATAGTCATCACAAATGCTAGCATTACGGGAAACTGACGTTGAATCAATTTAAATGGGAGGCCAGTATCAGATGGGGACAAATCAATTCTTGGAATCAGAACAACCTCTCCCTCTGCAGATCCTGTTAATACTTCAGC